CAGACCATTGGAAACTAATATTAGACTAGTTTCAATTATACCAGCAGAACCCATTAGGTTTTCAGATGTCAATCGTCCGAGGAACCGGAAAAAGTTTTAATGTTCAATTTTCAAATTAAATTATAACTATTGATACATAGAAAGCATACAATGCAGTAATGTCAAAAGTGTAATTCTTTCTTCTATTTTTGTAATATTATCCGAATCAAACTTTTGACACAAGCTTTCACTTGGCCACAGTTCACCAAGAACAGTGCCTGTTTAATCTACACTGCATTCTTTTTTTTATAAAAGGTTCTAATCAATGTGATTCTCGCATGTGTAAAAAAGTATTTCTTTTTTTCAAAATCAACGTCAAGATTCTCTTCACATGTAGAAAAAAAAAACAGATACAGTTGATGTAATGTATTTATACTTCATTGAAAGGAAGATCTACAAAGCAAGTAGACAAAATGGTAGCTATAAAAGAAAGTCAAACTTTTTTTTTTGAAGAAATTTAATAAGACAGTTTTGTGGTTGCAAAAATTACCTTTCAAGTAAGGTCAACAATTTTTTTTGGCTTCGGTTGACGTTTTTTAGGACTTTGAATAGGGCAAAGGGTTTATTTGGTCGCTATCGTATTATTTTGGTTCGTGAACTTTAAGAATTATTGTAGCAGTTTAGTGGCGATAGTTTTACAAATGCTTATTGTCTGATCGGAAAAATTACGCACGATAAAACTACCTTTTTTCTTCCTCAAAATTTCAGTTTTATTTTGCAGTACACTGATAATAAGTGTTAGTTTTGTTTTTTTTTCTTGCTTTTTACAATGTTTTTTGTAAAGAAATTTTTTCAAAAAGTTTTTCAGTACTAAATGGCTTTTTTTCTGTAAAAACTGGTGGCAAATATTTTTTAAGAGTTGTTTTCTTATATTATTTGTGATAACAGCAGCAGCAACAACAACAACGGAATAATAAAACTAAAAGTAATAAAAATATTAAAATTTAAATAGAAAAAGAGATTATAATAATAACAACAACAATAATATAATAATAATAATAATAATAATAATAATAATAATATAACAATACAATTATAATAATAATAACATTAAAAATAATTAATTAATATCAATATTAATAGAAATGGGAATAATAATAATAATGAGAGTGAAAACTGTTGTTGGTCACCGGATCAGACTATTGGTCTGCATAGATAAACCGAAGAGCAGTTATCAGACTGTGACTGGAGTAAGCAACTGACTCAACCCAAGTCCTGTACCCAGCGGATTCCAGCCGATCTGCCAAGTCAGCACAAATGTAATTTATTTGTAATACTTGGC